AGAAGAGGTGAAGCTTCAGGTTGAAAATCAACTAACTCTGGCCAAAAAAAAAAAAAAAAAAAAAAAAAAAAAAAAAAAAAAAAAAGTGGAAGCTGTGTGGGATATTACTGGAAGAGCCTCCTGATAGCCAATGGGAATGGTCAATATGATCACTGATCTAATGTCTGATAGTTGATAGGAAATAGTAATGAAATGTTATGTTAAAAAATAAAAATGGGGCTGGGCGTTGGTGGCACACGCCTTTAATCCCAGCACTCGGGAGGCAGAGGCAGAGGATCTCTGTGATTTCGAGGCCAGCCTGGTCTCCCGAGCGAGTGCCAGGATAGGCTCCAAAGCTACACAGAGAAACCCTGTCTAGAAAAACAAAAAAATGATTTTAAGTATAAAAGTTATAAAAAAAATAAAAAAATCCGGGTGTTGGTGGTGCACGCTTTTAATCCCAGCACTCGGGAGGCAGAGGCAGGCAGATCTCTGTGAGTTCGAGGCCAGCCTGGTCTCCAAAGCGAGTGACAGAATAGGCTCCAAAGCTACACTGAGAAACCTTGTCTCGAAAAACCAAAAAAAAAAAAAAAAAAAAAAAAAAAAAAAAAAAGTGTATAAAAATTATGAGGTGACACATGAGACTTCTGTGGGGGTGAAGTTGCTTCAGAATTTGAATATGATAGTGTTTTCATGACTTGTACTTGTGAAAACTTATAGAGCCATATAGCAAGAAGATGAAACCTAATGTCAACTTAAAAATTAAGATAAAACAAAAAAAACAAACAAAAAACAGAAAAAGGAGCTCCATAGTCCATCGGGTCTCCTCTGTTTGTTCAGGGACAGCCACAGTGCAGCGCTGTTCTGCATAACTTTGCAGTGGTAGAGATTTCATCACTGATGGATAGTGGAAAGATGTCTTTGGAAATTTTCCTTTTTACTTCCCTGGAAGCAGAAAATCTATTAATGGATAAAGTTGGCATCAACAAGGGAATGGACAAATTAGTAGCAAGACCTAGGAAAGACAGATGAGAACTAAGACTAAAATTTAACATAGTAGAGAGGGTAGACTCTCAAGTTTCCAAGCAACAAAAGCTGGACCAAAAAAGAAAAAGTGATTGGTTTAGAAGATTGTAGGTTTTATTCCCCGAATCCTGCATGGAAGCTTATTTTCAGTTTATTATTCTCAGCTTCCTACTCATAGTGCTACCATGTCACTTGACTTCTATAGTCTTAAGCCTTTTTATATAACTTAGGCCTGCATGAATTTGGTTTGATATTGATCATACATTGTAAAATTAATAGTTCTACCATTGACAGTATAGTACTGTAGTGGCATGTTGTTTCACCAGTAGACTTGCAGTGGTGGCCACATCTTAGGGGCATGGCTTTAGGTGTGCAAATGTGACCCCTTATAAGGAAGAGGAGAGGATGGTTTGCTCTCTTGTTCGGTAATAGGAACTTTGGAAGGGTAGAGACTGCATCTTCAGGAGCAGGAAGACCTTGGTGGTAATTTACTATTAAGTGTGTGCTTTCCTTATGCCAGTTAATCTTGGGTCTCGTGGACTCATTAAAATCCCACCTTTATAGTACTTTAACAACTTTCTTTTGACGTGCTGATCTATTTTTATCTACTTGTAAGGTTCTCAGATGATACCTCTGTGTTTATCTTGGTGTCCCCAGAGTATCTACCTTTGTATTATCTGACACCTAGTGGATACCCAATGAATATTTCCTGAAGAAACAAAATACTTATTTTGAGCCCAGAAGGGAATGTATGAAACGGGTTAGTTCCCAATTTTAAAGGAAGTTTACAACTTAGTGATATTTTGTTGCAAAACTTTTCTTAAAAGCAAAACAAAACCCCCCAGAATCCTAGGCTGGCCTCTGAGCTCATTATGTGAGGTAGACCCTCCTACTTGTACCTCCTGAGTGTTGGAATTACAGGCAAACCTGTTTATTGCAGTGATAGTACCAATACAGGGCTTTGTGCTTACTAGGCAAACACTACCAACTGAGCTACAGCCCCAATTCCCAATATAGTTTACTTCACAAATAGAAGCAGACAAGAGTGCAGAGGGAAAGATATGTAGAATCTGATCATAGAAACCACTACTTACACAATTAGTTGAGCTTTAATGTAAGAATGTGTAAGCATAGATCCTTCAATATCCTTTCATATTGCTGAGGCTATGATAGAAAACCTTATTTAGATAGTAGGAACATAGTTTGGGACTGGGCATGGTAGCACATGTTTTAATTCCAGCACTCAAGAAGCAGAAGCAGGCAGAATCTCTTTGCATTAAAGGCCAGTCAATGTATGTAGCCATCTGGGGATCAAACCCAGAGTCTTGGACATATAAGTATTACACTGCCTGAGGCCCCCCCTCCCCACTCCGGCCTCATTAAATTTTTTTTCTTTTAAATTAAGGCTGGATGGTGGTGTACATCTTTAATCCCAGCGCTTGGGAGGCAGAGCCAGGTGATCTCTGTGAGTTTGAGGCCAGCCTGATCTACAGACTGAATTCCAGGACAGGCTCCAAAGCTACAGAGAAACCCTGAAAACTCCCCAATGAAATTTTTTTAAAAATTGGGGGTTAGGAGGTTAAGAGCACATGTTACTCTTGCAGAGGTCCTGGGCTTAGTCCCCAGCACTCACCTTGGGGGTTACAAACATCCAGAATCCCAGTTCCAGGGAATCTAATAACCTCTTAATCTTTTTTTGGCACCAGGAACACAAAGCACTCAGTTTTGAAAAATCTAAAAACGAATTAAACTCAGTTGAGGGCAGAACTCCTTTCCACTTACTCATTTTAGAGATATTTTTTAGGCATACTTTTCGAAGACATACTGCATTGTTTTTAAGGCCATGACATTTAATAGATAAACTTTAATAACACCTATTTGAGATTTCATTTATGCCCGAGTGTATGTGCACCACATGCATGCAGGTAAGAGGGTATTAGATCCCCTGGAACTGTAGAGAGGGTTGTGAGACATCAGATATAGGTACTAGGATTTCTGCAAGGGCACATGTTCTTTACTGATCTGCCATCACTCCAGTCCCTTACACATCCTACTCCTAATTACATGGGCTGTTCTACTTGTCCTTGTTGCAAACTTGTTCTGTCACACTGGGAAGCAAGGACTGTGTCTCCCATAGAGCCCAAAGGACTTCATTAGGAAATCTACAGTATTTCATGGTCTAAAAAGCACTAGTGGAAAATCTTACAAAATTAAGCCAAATATTAAGAACTAAGTGACCCATCAGTATTTTGTAATTTAGCAACATACACATTAAACAATTACACCACAACCCGTGTACATGCCAATCAAAAGAAAAGAGCATATTCATGTACCAACACTGTCTGGCTGCTAAATGCTGCTTGATAGTGTGTGCAAATGACGTTGAAGTGAAAGATGGGCTAGAACTAGCTATTGTAATTAGTTTGGGAGAGGGTATTATACTTTTTTGTTTTGTTTTTCCAGACAGGGCTTCTCTGTGGCTTTGGAGGCTGTCCTGGAACTACGTCTCGTAGACCAGGCCAGTCTTGAACTGACAGAGGTCTGCCTGGCTCTGCCTCTGGAGTCCTGGGATTAAAGGAGTGTGCCGCCACCACCACCCAGCGGTATTATACATTCTGAAGGTAATTTTTCTACCTCTTAGTTTCATATTAGATTACACTTTCCAGGTCAAGTGATAAAGGTATAATTTGTTCTTAGATAGTTAAAAAGTGGTAGAGTCTATATAGCTCTAACTGTCTTGGGACTCTCTATGTAGGCTGGGCTGGCCTTGAATTCAGACATCCATCTGCTTCTGCCTCCAGATGCTGGAATTAAAGGCATGAACCACCACGCCTCGCTCTTAATCATTCTTTTTGTTTTTGTTTTTTGAGAGAGGGTTTCTCTGTGTAGCTTTGGAGCCTATCCTGGCACTCGCTCTAGAGACCAGGCTGGCATCGAACTCACAGAGATCTGCCTGCCTCTGCCTCCGAGTGCTGGGATTAAAGGCACGAGCCACCAATGCCCGGCTCTTAATTATTCTTAAACCAGGGTATGGTAGCCCGTAATCCCAGCTCCTGGAAAGCTGAAACAAGAGGATTCCAAAGTATAAAAGCATGCAATCTGGGTACCTCACAGTACCCTAAGTTGCAGTGAGAACTTTGGCCTCTTCCAACATCAGCACTTATATATATATATATATACCCTCCATACACATAAAAAGTGAATTTTTTTTTTTCCGAGACAGGGTTTCTCTGTATTGCTTTGGAGGTTGTTCTGGAACTTGCCCTTGTAGCCCAGGCTGGCCTCGAACTCAGAGAGATCCACCTGCCTCTGCCTCCAGAGTGCTGGGATTAAAGGCATACACCACCAACACCTGGCAAAAAAGGTGAACTATTATTTAAAACAAAAATTACTACCACTCAAGGGATAAATGCATATGGAATGCCAAGTTTGAGGTCAACTGGGCTACAATATAAGGCCTTGTCTCAAAAAGCCAAAATAGTTACTCTGAAATTGTGACATATCCACTATATTTACAGTACATATGACCCAAGTAGACAACTGTTCTGAAAGGAAATGATCGGTCAAAAGTCCTGTATCCTATGTGCGTAGGATCACTACCAATGCAGCATTTAAGTTCTTGGAGCTTAGACTAGCAGTGTCCACGTGTGTACTATAATGTGCCCACCCACCTCTGTGCTGGGCATCATAGAAATCAATGCTTCTGTTACCATGGACCACTCACAGTAAGTAATATCAGTACTGACAGGGCCAGGCTTTACTATCAGGTACTCAATTTTCTTGTTAAATTCTTTCTTCTTCAAACACTAATTAGACACTGGTCTAGGGCTCCCTATGTGGATCAGAGATTTAGGAATCAATTTCACCTTTATAATTTTCTTTGTCTAAACAATGTTTCTGCCTGAAGTGCTTTTCCTTCTGGACAGGCATGTGAAAACATATTTGTGTGTGTGAAGAGTAAGAACTGTGAAGTATAAGCACACACTCCAAAAATCTCCGAACTATTTTTCTTGCAGTAGAGTTGAAGGATGATTACACTGTGAAGGCAAGATACAGAAAATTATTGCAGCTTAAATATTTATATACATGTACAATCTTTAAAAATGTATGCAGTTTTAAGCTAGAAATGGTGGCACATACCTTTAATCCCAGCAACCAGGATTTGTTTTCTGAGACACAATCTTGGTATCTACAAGCCAGTTCTGAACTCAAGCTTCCCAAGTCCTGGTATGTTTATGAAACCATGTACAGATGGTGTGCTTTAAACAGAACTTTTTGTCACCAGGTCTGTTTGACAATGGTTGTTGCATGTCTTTGGGATATGTGCAGAGAGCTGAAATACTCAAGAATGTCATTTTCTTTTTGCTTTCTCGATTGTGTAGCAGTTCCTATGCAGTAGACTCTTAGGTTGAACCAACCAGTTGTATTCTCACCTCTTCTTGTTAACAGATACTGCCAGGCAGACTTGTTCTTAAGGTCTTCTTTTCTTTTTAATTGTTAGTATGTATTTATTTATTTATGTGCCAGAATTTACACTGGCAGACACAAGGTCAGGATAACTTTTAGGAGGTCCTTCTTGTACAGTGGGTTCTGGGGTTCAAACTCACTGTTCAGTCACCTGGATTTTACATTTAACTTAAAAAACTATGCCAATTCCTGTAGCAAGTAATGATAATAGCTAAGTAATACTATGTCATTATTTGTTTTCTGTTGAGAATGTAACCTTAAGATGCTGATAGTCTTACATTAGAAACAACTCCATCGTTTATTTACCAAGCAGCGTAATCTCATATATTGTTTCCATGATGCTCCTTGAATTTAATATTCTCTAATATTGCTCTTCTGTTCACTTGTGCCACTAAGCTTAGTATGTATGTAGCAGGTGCACTAAGATACAGCTAAGTCCACATTTGCCAGACACCTGGATTGGATCTGTAAGAAACAAATGGATGATTTGAAAGATTTACTAAATTCATGCATTCTTGAATTTTTTTTTTTTACTCTGTGTATGTATGTCTATGCATTTTGTGTGCCTGGTACCCAAAGTCCTCTGGAACAAGATTTATAGTCTTAGTGAGTCACCATGTGGGTGCAGGGAATTGAATTCCAGTTCTCTAGAAGAGTAACCACTGCTCTTTACTACTGAGCCATCTTTCCAGCCCCTCAAGTTAATTTTATAAGCATTTCGAATTAATTTTAAAAGGAATAAGGCATACATTTTCAGAGCTTTTTTTTTTCCCCCTTTGGTTTTTTTTTTTTTTTTTTTGATAAGGCCTATATAGTTCAAGCTAGCATCCATCCTAGTGCCCTAGCCTGGGAAAGGCTGGGAACCACTATATTTGGCTTAATTGGACACAGTAATGAGAATGGCTACCGGAATTAAGTTACATTATTTACATGTATGAAATTATCAATGGATGCTTTTGAAAAAATGTTAACCAAGCTTTTAAATCAGAGGCTTATAGACAGTGACTCAAAATATTTTAAATTATTCTTTTTTTGTTTATTTTTGAGACAGCATTTCTGTGTAGCTTTGGAGCCTGTCCTGGAACTTGCTCTGTAGACCAGGCTGGGCTCAAACTCAGATCACCTGCCTCTGCTTCCCAAGTGCTAGATCAAAGGAGCCTACTACTCCAACACCCTCCAAATTAATCTTTTAGTACCTTCTAATTTGCATGTAATCTGGTAGAAGGGTAGCTGGGCATTGGGAGGCAGAGGCAGGTGGATCTCTGCAAGTTTGAGGCCAGTCTTGTCTCCAGAGCGAGTGCCAGGATAGGCTCCAAAGCTACATAGAGAAACCCTGTCTGGGGGGGGGGGGGGATCTGGTAGAAGGATTAAGAATATGATCAAAATGTATTGAATTTTCAAATAAAAACATTACTAAATGTATAGATTCCCCATATATAGTTTGTTGGGTAAATTTCAATGCGTGGTTTTTCTAGACAGGACTCTGTGTAATGGCCCTAGCTATTCTGAAACTCACTTTATAGACTAGGCTGGTCTCTAACAGAGATTCACATGCCTCTGCGGCATGTGCCAACACACCTTGCTTATTTGTACTTATAAAAATCTTAGTGTAAACATGTTACAGTATTAGCAGTAATCATGACTAAACCAATTGAAGTAACACTTCCTTATAATACTGCTTCAGGTAGCCTGAAATATGTCTGCTGGACATTGGCTGAGGCCTTGCTAGGTATCATTAGTTAATAAAATATGGACTTCTCTGTAAAGATTAAAATTTTAAGATTTTTTGATTACTTTCTTCCCAATTCAATATACTCTTATTTTATGAATTTAAAAGGTTTTGGGTTTGAAGAGATCTATAGACTGCAGCAGATTGAAAAAAAAAGATCCATGACACTTAATGACTTAGAAGGACAGAGGTCCTTGGGCTCAGTACTCAAAAAAAATTACAAACGGCTCAAACTTTGACCACCAAATATTGATACTTAAAAATTACCAATTACAAGGCTGCTTCTTACTCAATACAACTTTATGTTTTAATGACATAAGAATTAAACATGATTTATAATTTCCTTAAAATAATTATATGCCCTTTGAATCTAAGCAACACTTGCTTTTGCAGACCATATTCTCCACTGAGTATTAAAAATCTGGTATGTCTTGAAATTTCAACAAGGAAGAGACACACTGGAATACAATAGGAATAGATGAGTTAAGAACTAGGCCCACAATTAAGAGTTTTCAGTTAAGTTCAAATCTAGCTCGAATCAAAATAAAAAGTAGAAAGAGAGCGACATATATAGCTCAGTGGCAGAGCAAGTACTTGTTTGAACACACAAAGCCATAGGGTTCATACAAGTGTCTGGGAGGAACAGGGAAAAAGTGAATTAGGACAACTTATATTGAGAAGCCTGGCTTTGGTATCAAATTATTACACTGGTGTTTTCCGAGACAGGATCTCATCATGTGCCCCTGCTTGCTGGGCTTGAACTCAGGGGTCTGACTGTCTCTGCCTCCCTATTGCTGGACTTAGCATTGTGCTAGATGCAGTTTAAAGTTAAGGACTGATTCAAGCCTCATTTCTCTAAATTGCCATATAGTCAGTACAGAAATGAAGAAGTCTAGACACTACCACAATTTTTTTTTTCCACGTAGGACTTTGGAGTTCTTGTACACCTGCCATTCTTTAAGCAGGCCATCCCACTTGCACAACTTCAGACTTATCTGTACATGATTTACCCCAAATGGGTACACTTACATTACTCAGATGCTCTCCTTAAATGGAAACTCTTTTAGTTAACTGCAAATTGTCCATTATATAGGGTATCACTAAATGAAGTATTCATGGTAGTTAAAACCAAAGGAACAGATTTATACAACTTAGGAAACAAATCAATCTTAAAAAGCGACAAATTTCGAGTCGGGTGGTGGCTCACGCCTTTAATCCCAGCACTTGGGCGGCAGAGGTAGGCAGTATCTCTGTGAGTTCGAGACCAGCCTGGTCTACAAGAGCTAGTTCCAGGACAGGTTCCAAAGCCAGAGAAACCCTGTCTTGAAAAATAAAATGACAAATTTCAGTATTTAGTGAATCATAGGGCAGTTATTTTTGCCTCAGTTCGTATCCTAAGCATGACACAATGCTTGCTGCCCATTGAATATTAAGCATTTTTATATAGTTCCTTAATTCTCTGGAAAACTAAAAAAACAGGCATATTTTTGTACAATTAAAAGCCCAGAATGAATTAAGCCAACATCATATAGAACTGAGACACATCTTTCTACCTCTGAAGCCCACACTAATGGACAAAACCAACCTTCCGCTGATAAGTGGTTATCATAGGTATATACTTACCCACCATGATGTACAGCAGTAGAAATGGTTTGACAAACTAGTTTTTACTTCAACCAGTGTATGTATTTTAACATCTCCAGTGTTAGCAGAGGAATTACTTCCCATCTGTCAAATGCTTTTTAAGTCAATCCTGTCATAGCTCTGAAGTCAAATTTTACTTCTCTCAACTATGACAGCCACCAGGAACTCATTTCTGTTCCAGGCTTGGTGATGCCTTCCTTTAGCCCCAGCACTAGGGAGGTAGAGGCAAGAGGATCTCAGAGTTCACGGTCAGGCTGAGCTTGAGTTCCAGGGCAGAAAGAAAATGTCTCAAAACAAAGTAACCTATTTCTACTTATCTGAAATTTACTCTAGAATACTGCACAGGTATTAGTTAGTTACCATAATTAGCTTTGCAGACAAAATGGTGCCAAGATGGATCTCTCAGTTTGAGGACTGCCAGAGCCACACAGAGATTGTCTCTGAAAAAAGGTGGTAAGTGGTGGTGGGGTGGTGCCAAGTGGCTCTTTGAACCTAGGTGCACAGATTCAAAGCAAGTTACATTTATTTTGTCTCCCTTACTCCCAATAGCTGAAGTATTAGGAGATTGGAGGATTCAGTCTTATTGTTGCCAGGAACAGATAATAGTCTGAATATAAAATTGAGATTTTGGGAATCATCCTATATGAAGCCTGCAACTTTTTTTTTGTAGTTCAGAACATGTTAATTTAGAGCACAGAAATTTAACCTGCAGTCATGTCTTTCCTTAGAAATATCCCAGGTCAGGTCGGATGGTGGTGGCATACGCCTTTAAACCCAGCACTCAGGAGGCAGAGGCAGAGGCAGAGGCAGAGGCAGGTGGATCTCTGTGAGTTCAAGGCCAGCCTGGTCTACAAACCTACAGAGAAACCCTGTCTCAAAAAGCCAAAAAAGAAAAAGAAAAAAAATCCCAGGTTATATCCATACCAGAAGGTAAAGATCTCATGAGACCAGTTAGACATACATTTGAACTCACTGGATGGACTAGTGACAGGACTTTGTAATAACTTCCTTTGATGCTATAAAAGTTTTTCATTACAACTCTTAGTATTTTTGTTTTTTCTCCCCCATTTTCATTTATCCTTCCAGTTAAGTCTCTAGAAAAAAAGTTAAGCAGTAAGATGGGAATGACTCCAGGCAATGTAATGACTTCAGGCAACATTAAAAATGGATTTAAGACATTTGCAGAGGCCTATGGTGCTTGTCAGTTGCTTTTCTCATCTTAGGTATAGGCACAATCACACATTTCCCACATAGGTAATCTAATAATTTCAATCATCATGAATTTCTCCTGTCAATAACAGACATTGTAAATGCAGCGGGGCAGAGACCAGTCCCATTCGATGTACATTTAATGCTTTCTCCAACAGTGGTTTTAAGGATCCCAGTTGGGTTGGGGCTAGTTAATAGAGAAGGTTCATGGTTAAGAGCATTTGCTGCTTTTGCAGAGGATCAGGTTCGGTTGCCAACACTTACATGGTGGCTCAAAATCATCTATAACCCTAGTCCCAGGGGAATCTGATGACTTCTGACTTCCATGGGTACCAAGCGCATAAACAAAGGCAAAACAGCCATACATATAAATCCTCAAAAATAAATAGGTGGGCAGGGTGGTGGTGCACGCCTTTAATCCCAGCACTCCAGAGGCAGAGCCAGGCGATCTCTGTGAATTTGAGCCCAGCCTGGTCTACAAGAGCTAGTTCCAGGACAGCCTCCAAAGCCACAGAGAATCCCTGTCTCAAAAAACAAAAACAACAAAAAAACACAGTTGTTGCTTCTAACATCTTAAGGAAGCCCTCTTATTTCTGCCTGTCTCTACCATTATTTATTTTTTTTCACATCCAAACATCTTACCTTTATTCGGCAACCACTTTTTGCTATTCTATGATTCATCCCTAAAACCCTCCTGAATCTGGTGACTTTTCACTATCTTGCTAATTCAAAGTTTATATGAAAAATAAAATCTAGGAAGCCTTCATGGGGAAACAATACCAGCTGAAAAAAATGTTTTCAGAAACCACCTTGAAAGTACCAAGAAATAGAAAAAAAAAGCAGAATTTTTAGAAAGACACACAAACATGAACACTGAAAATCGAATAGCCTCATTTGCTTAAAATTCAAGAAAGGTGTCATGCCGGTATGATAATCATACAGAAAAGGAAAGTAATCAATGTAAACAGTGCACCACCCTTAATGACTTCTCAACTATGACAGTGCTGTATCATATAATTATCACTTATTCCATAATAGTGTTTCCAGTAAAGCCCACTTATTACATACAAGGAACATGCTATTTACTTGCAGTATTGCAACTGTAATTGAGGTACTCTATGTCAATTGAAGTATTCTATGTCAAATTTACTCACAATAGTAAGCTTAGTATATTACCACTTTAGAGAAAGACCCAAATCCTTCCAATTATTTCCTTATACTTACAAGCACATGGTTTTGCATAGTATAGTTTTCTTGTATAATTGTGTTCACCGTTGGAAATCTGAGCAAACTAAAACGCACTGGACTACACCCTTTAAATGGATGAACTGCATATGTGAATTTCATTTCAACAAAGCTGTTTATAAAAAAAAGATACAACATAGAGGATTATTCTTTACAGCAAGTTCACTAAGACAGTGTCTCAAACTAAAGCCTATGAATACATACTCATTTACACAATTGGTTACAGTTAAGTATCTCTGCATACCTAAATTTCCCGAAATGGTTATGTTCATGAACACATGTTTATTAGCACATATTCTTGCAAAGACATGTTCTGTAGTGCTCCTTTAACTGTTCAAACCTGTTAAAATCTGGTAAGATAAAGAAAGCTTGCTTCTCTGGGCAGTCATTATTAAAATTTTAATTTGAAGTCACTTATAATTTTTTTTTTCTTAAAGAGACAAGGTTTCTTTGTATAGCTCAGGCCAGCCTGGAACTTTGTAGACCAGGATGGCCTTGAACTAAGAGATCCATCTGCCTCTGCCTCTGGGATCGAAGGTCTGTACCTGTACCTGTACCTGTACCACCTGTACCACCTGTACCACCACCACCCAGTTAGACTTTAAATTTTGACCCTGAAACATCTGCTGCATTTACCTTAAGCCATATAGAAAATCCAGCAGCAAAATCTATGTCAACCTGTTATAAACACAATAGCTAGGGTACTAACCTGAGACTTGTTTCCTAACTATTGTCAATTCCAAGTATGAATGTCAATATATATATATATATATATAAATTGTTTTATTACCTGAAATGAATTAAAATATTGTTAAAAAAAAACAGAAAAGAAAAAAAAAACGTATTAGCTAAAATCAAATGGTGTGCCCATCTGTATCCACTTATGGAAACAAACACTGTGACAAACATTTACCTTAATCAAAGAGGAGATCTGAAAGATACTTTTTTTTTTCTGGTCAAGTGTTTTGCTTTTTTTTTGTCTTAAGTTTCTAAAGAATATGGAATTTTTTTTTCCTCTGACAGTTGACTTAACTTGTTGAGTCTTTCTAAAATACACTGGAATTTTTCACATTTATGGTAGGATATCCATTATATATAAGGCTAAAACACTTTAAAACACTCACACGACAAATTGTAGAATCCACTACATTATATACTGGTCCCATTTTTCACACTAATTCTAAACAATCTGTTATTTCTCTTTCAATAAATCAGTCTTCCACAATAACTCAAACTAAGATTATTGCTCATATGTCTTATAAAACAAAGATTCATTAGCCTAAACCCTACAGTTAAATCTAAGAGGAGAAAAGAAATGGTAAACACTCTGTTTCCTTTCTAGTACTTACCATCATTACAGGTAGAAGGACATCGATATTTCTGAGGCTTTTACATTGTTGAATTTATGGATGAATGGCTTTTGCCACAGGCATTGTTTCTTCTCACAACATAAGCCGAGTCTTTGAAAATTATTTTAACTGTTTTCTGAATAGCGTAGTTATCTTTTGAATTTTATTAACTTCTAACAGAGGCATAGTATGTATTTTCCCTGATACAAACAAACCAGGGCTGGGAATCCAATCCAAGGCCTTGAGTATATGCTAGGTGAATTCTTACCATTGAGCTACATCTTCTGCGTAAAACTCAGCTTTCACAATTAAATACAAAAGAGAGGGAGAACAAACAACACAAATTATTCATATCAGCATTTTTAAGTTTTCAGAGACACTCAGAAGGAAGTAAAATTTCCCATCTTTCCAAAGTGAGCATCAGAATCTGAAAAACAAACACACAGTACTGCTTTAGTTATGCAGGATAATTTGAGATGCTGAGCAAAAGGACTCAAAAGTTCTTAAAGTAATCATACATTTAGAATAGGCCAAAGAAGGCATTAAATGCATTTTAATTGGTGCGGTACCAAGTGGGTAAGAGGTGATGGTTAACTACATGCAGATGTCACAACAAAACACATTATTTTGCATAATTTTGTTAATATACGCTAACAAAAGAAGAAAAGTTAAATTGGTGACCCATGGTTACCAACTTCAAGACCCGAAGTATTTTAGTATAGTTCATTCAGCGATAGTCCTGAGTAAGATAGCACACTTGTAGTCCCTTTTCAATGTCTTTCACTTTCGCTGGTGGGTAAGATTAGGTGCTAACTTCTTTTGGTAGCTCCTTGTCTTTCTTATTTTCAGGACCAAAGATAAAAACCTGCACACTCATATCTACCAATGATTTATTTGATGCCCTTTGTAAATCATGCGGTATTAAGATTCAGTGTGTGTGTTGGTCAGATACCTGAGGAAGGAAAAAAAAATGGCAAGACGACAAGAAAATTAACCTAGGTTTACCCCTACTCATCAGGTGCAAGCGGGCTTCTCGTCCAAAAGGCGCGAGGCTCGCTGTCCCCAGTCCGCAAAACACAACAAAGCCACCTTCTGCCCAGATTGTCCCGCTAGGAGGTCTAAGGGCTCCTCCACAGCCAGAAGAGAAGCGACTCCCTGGGTCCCTGGGTAAAAAGCCGAGGGAAAGGCGTGAGGCCCTAAGCAACCCCTTGAGGTTGAGGCTCACGCCGACTCGCGAGGCCCGGTCCGACGGCCCTGCCCATCCGCAGTGTAGTCTCCGTTCAGTCCCAGCCAGTGATCGAAGCTATCAACCTCTACGTCCTCTGCCTCACCATTCTCACCGTGTCCCTTCTCAGCTCCACGAGCCCCGAAGCCTCCCTCGGCCCGCAGTAGCTCCTGAGCTTCAACATGGCGACCGGTCAGGTCTCTCTCTGGGCGCTCGGACCGGAGCACCCTGGGCATTGTAGTTCCGGATGTAGCCTCTGCGTCCCTCACGGACTTCAGAGGACTACAGATCCCAGAATGCACAGCTCTGGAGCATGGCTATTGGGGCCGCTCGGACAGAGGGATGATGTCATTGCAAAATCCGACTGCATTCATTGTGCTACGGTCTATCCACTCCCCACCCCCCCGCCGCTGCTGCTGCTGCTGCTGGCGCTGCTGGGCTCGCTATTGCCGCTTGCTCCAGCTGAGCCCTGAGTAGCAGCAGGACCAGGGCAGGGACTGACTCCAGTCCTTGGACTTAGGACACCGCAGCACCTTCCCTTACGTGCGTGACTCATTGGCATATCATTTCTGTTTATGCCTGGGGTGGGGAGAAAAATCCCAAACCAGGTGAGTTGAAGTGATTTATTCAAATCGTTCTCCCAAGTTATTCCTCCCGCTTAGTGCTCAAGGCTTTCTTTTGGAAGATGGGGCCGGGGATGGGGGTATGGATTCAGGAGGTTCTCACTGGCGCTGCTAAGAGCTAAATCGCTCTGTGCAATTTGGGTCACTGCAAAGAACAACTCCAGCAACCTGCCCCCGCCAGAGGACTGGTGCCTGCCAATTTCCTCGCCTCAACTCCCTTTAACCTTTTTGAGGCTGGGAGAGGGGGCTGGGCTGGCAAGGATGTTGGGAAGTGCACTTGGAAAACATGAGGAGGGCAAAGGTGGCGGACTGCAGTCCTGTCATTCTACGGCCCCAGTGCTGAGGTTTGAGTGGGAAAGGGTGATGTGTGGGAAGGAATGGAGACAGTGACTTAAGGTGGTCGTACTTCTTTAGAACATTTGTGTCTCTTGGACTAGCATACACTATTTTCTTTTTTAAGATGAGCATGCTTCTCTTGAGTCGCTTAAGTTTCGTGGGGCTTTATTTTATGTTTGCATGTCTGTATCGTTTGTCTCGCGTTTTCTCTGCTGATTTGAGGTGACAGTGTCCTTTAATGGTGTACTTCGTGTCAGAAATATTTCACGTGTCTTAGGCTGCTAGAAGCAGTATAACATTTTTTAAAGATTTTTTTTTTCGTTTTCTCGACTGCGGGATTCAGGATTGTTTGGAAGTGGAGCTGATAGATTTGTGCTTGTGTGAGTGTTTTAAATTACATCGCAATAGGCTCTTGCCACTGACAATGGTACTGTAACGAGCTGCGCTGCCGTTTCCCGAGGCTCCGTCTCCACTCACACTTAACGGTTTGTAGACCTAATCGATTAGGGAACCGGGGTCCTTTTTTCATTTCTTGACTTTTTTTTTTTTAACACTTTAGGGAAAGGAAAAGTTAGACGTGCTGCCACCCTTTACTGGCTATTACTGAAAGGTATCCAAGAACAGTGAGCCTGATCAGGAAAACCAGAGAGCATGTTAGTGTGCTTTTTGTTTGAATTTTGTTTTTCAACGAACTGATACATTTAATAAGGCAGGCAACATTGTGGCTTGTGTGATGCTGACTCTCCTCTTTTAAGAGTTACAGGGATGAACACTGCAATAAATATGTTCTTTTGAGATAAACAGCTGGCTGGATCCAGAACAGATGGGGCCAGTCTTAGTTGAGAGATATACAACCTTGGAAATGAATGGACTTAGGGTCAACCACACCCCCTTTAGGAATGTCAAAAGAAGGAGAAATGCCAGAGTATTTGCTTAACTCCAAAATGCTAAAGCTTTTCACAGCTGAATCAGGCTTTGGAGGGAAAAGTCATTACTGTCTGTCTTCAGCTTCTGTGAACCAATTTTATTCAATTTTAATTTAGATGCTCAGGTCTCCAAAGTTGCAGCTGGGTGACACTTTGTTAAATGCTGCATGTCACTGAATGCAAAGAACAGTCCATTGTACGGGCTTTGTAAGTAGAGTGATTTATTGGCATGCAATGAGCAGCTTTTGGATTTGGGCAAAGATCAACAGTCTGTTGCCTCTTCCTACATTTTGTGGTGACACTCTGCCCTTTTCTTCTATGCCTTTCTTTCTCTCTGTACCCGGTTGACAGATCTTCAAATTCCATTTCTTTCCTCATCTGTTTGCAATAAATGTAGGTGTTGCCTCTCTGTTTCAGGGTCCTGGCTGTGTCAGGAGAGAATCACATCTCTTTTTCTAAGTCACTTTCCAACCTCTGAACACCAGCCCCCACACCTTCACCCCACCCACCCCCCAAGGAACCCTGGGGTTAGAGGATGTTGGCTCTGTGTGAACCTTTATTCAGAGTCCTCTTTGATGAGGTACTGGCTCCCCCCACCCCCCTTGGAGTCTGTGCTTGGAAGGATGATAGCAATGAGTCTGTTCCAGGGCTGGGTTTGTGGATTTCCTGACAGACATAACCTGGGCCCAGGAGCATATGGACAATGAAATGTGGCCATGGAGCTCTTGTATCTTTCCTTTCCATGACCCCTGCTAAGAAGTGCCCAAGGTTTAGCAATTGTTTTAATGCTTTACATAAATAATTCATAAATGATTCCTAAAAGAAGTAGTCTTAAGTAGTTTCTGATTCATTTAATAGTTTTGCTTCTTATTCCTGATTCCAGTGAGTGGTGGGAAAAAGAGTCTATCCCCTAGCACCACTCTGAGTAACAGGGCCAGTAGCAAACCTGCATTTGTGTTTCTGAAGGTAAATGGAGTTCCTGCCATTTTGTCGTCTTTGTGGAGGAGAGAAGTTTGTTTTATGCGACTTTTCCTGGGAGCTGGGTGTGGTGGCAGCTATGTCTTTTTACTTAACCTTAGTGTTTCTTTAGGCATGCAAAGTCCAATGTCCATTTGAAGTCAGCCTACATGACAGGTGGATGGGACTTTTGTACCACCTTTCCTTACGAATTCCCGTCTCTTTCAATGTGCCCTCACTCACTGGGGGTTTTTAGTGACATAGGGAGAAGAAATGATTTGAATGAAGGATTAGATTTGGCTCTATCCCTGCTGTCCTATGACTTTCAAGAGCTGTAAATTTCTTTTTGTCTCAGTTTGTAGATCTGCAAAGGGACACCAATCCTTGCTTCTTGATTTACTTGGCCTGTTGTTAAAACCCTCTGTGATAAAGCCGGAACTTATTCTGACAGCAAACATCAACTGAGCAGGTTTTGTGTGATAAGTACTATGGTACATCAATGAAGAGAAATATACCCCCCTCCCCCCGCATTGAACTATTCCAAGTGTGATGTACTTACTATTCTTCCTGGGGATTGAATTGGAGATGGGATGGGTGTACCCAATATGACTCTGTTCTTTTTTCTGGAGCAATCAGGGAAGGTTTCCTGTAGGAAGTGGAACTTGAGGGAACTTGAGTGGTCAGGAAGTAATTTAGGGTAGCAATGGGAGTTGCCTAGAGTAGGGCAAATAGGGTTTTTGGCTAAAGGAACTGCACATTCAGCATACAAAGAGAAGAGTGGTGAGTAGGAGACAGGGAGTAGATTGAAGGAGCTGGAAGAGACTAGAGAGATGGGGCCTGGGCAGTTTTGAATGACAAGGTGATTTTGGTTTTCATCCTCAGGGTAATGGGAACATAGGATGTGCTTTAATTAGCTAGATGAATGCCATATATGGAATTATATTTAATACACCCTAGGGTTAGCAAGATGGCTTCATGGGTAAAAGCACTTGCCATATAAGCCTGAGGACCTAAGTTCAGTCCCTAAAATGCATGATGGAAAGAGAAGACTGACTCCTGAAAGATGTCCTCTGACTTCCATGTGTGCTGTTGTATGGAAAAATGCTTGAGTGCTAGAGGGTGTGAGCACATGCATGCCAATAATAAATGATGGACACTTTAAAAAAGACAGAGGAAATTGGAGGAAAGCTTGACCAAGTTGAATCTAGAGACTGAGTAGCAGGTCATTTCTAAGTCTTGGTGATGGAAGATGATGCTTGAATCTTGGTGGAGACTGGAGAGACACTACTTTTGAAAATTAGAATTGCATAAATGTATTGATTGATTAGATATGGGAATAGGAAGAAAAAGTAGAATATGGTTTGCATTTTTCCTCTTTAAGCAATGAGATAGATGACTTTTAGAGAGAAAGAGACAGCTGATTGCGTGTATTGGTTCAAGAAGTGGAGGATTCTGGGTTATGTTGAATTTCAGGTTCCTGGGACACATCTAAGATCTTTGTTTTATTCTTCCTATTATTTGTGTTGGGGTATGCCATGGTAGTCTAGGGTAGAGATCGCTGATGGGGCTATGATGGGATGCTAGTATTTATTCATGTGTAACATTGGGAATGGCATATTCATTTTCAAGGTTTAGTTTTCTCATTTATAAAATGGGTTTATCTCACTACAGTATACTGATGTTCACTTGTATGTATACCATGATAGGAATGCATCTTCAAATGAGATAGTGTTTGCTTTCACGAAATTCCTCTGAAGAGAAAAGGACACATGAACATATGGAGTGGTGTGTAGTGATGCTAGGACAGCATAGCCCCACAAGAGGGGTGGGAAATCAACAATGTGGCCCACAACCTTTGGCCCTAGAGATGAAGGCAAGGAACAGCTTTAGGGAGTAGGTTCCCAGGTCTTGCACAATTTAGGGGCCCAAACTAGGTCTCTAAGGATGCTTTCTAAATAGGTGGCCCACAACCTTTGGCCCTAGAGATGAAGGCAAGGAACAGCTGTAGGGAGTAGGTTCCCAGGTGTTGCACAATTTAGGGGCCCAAACTAGGTCTCTAAGGATGCTTTCTAAATAGAGAAAAATTTCAACATATTGAAAGATGCAATTAGTGATAGTGCAATGTCAAATGTAAATGCTATTAGCAGATCATTTTCTGAGACCTATAGCCTTTGGGATGTTTTGTGGCTAAGTTTTAGGGAAATTCAGAAGTATTTCAGTTCTGGTTTCTTTTAGGGTTCAACTTCCTAAATTCAAGTTAGGTTCTCAAAAAGCATTCTAATGGCCGTAATATTCCCTAACTTAATGGACTTTTTGAATTTTACAGGTAAGCAAAGTTACAGATATACAAAATAAACACAATTGAGTGAATTATTGACAGTATTTTTCTGTGGTAAAGATATATTTAACTGCATGAAAAATTCTCTAATGTATCTTTCCCCCTTATTTTATTGCACAGGAGGGGGAAAAGACAAAACACCACAATGTTATAATTACTTAGGAAATAATTTCTGTATTTTCTTGGCTGAGGTGGAAATGTGGCTGGTCTCCAAATGAACATTTCCAAGTGAAGAGGAATTGTATGTGATCTACAGATAACTTATTTACAGGTTCCTTCCCATGGGAATCTAACCTTTGAAAACTAGATACTTCCTCAAGATTATTCTATCAGGAAGATTCTTGGAATTTTTTTCAGTGTTGGGGACCAAGCCTATAACATAAGGGTCCCTTGAAGGTCATCAGGAAGACAGGATCTATAAGATCACA